AGTGATAGCTATTCTTCCATTATCCCTCTGTCCCTCTTCCCTTCTTAGTTGTCCCTCTTTTTGGTCTGATGTATAAAAAAAATACCATTTAAGTATACTGCGCTAAATCTTTTGTCCCAATGTAAATGATATGATAATTTTGTATTTTGAAAAGCCAGTAAAAAGAGAAGTAATGTGAAAAGCACTTGCAGGTTTAACCAGTCAGTTTTTGCATATTAACTCCTGATGGTCCATATAACTTGGGACATGGCGGGGTGTGTCCTTTGTTCATACAGTATATGGAACTTTGAGCTATAATTTGCCCATTTTTCCCATCTCAGAAAGTTGGGAGCTATGTCAACTGTATAATTGTTCCAGGTCACTGACTCAAAGTATTGAAGCAACAGGGCTCAATGTTACTGTCATGACAGGTTTCTATTAATCTGTGCAACAACTATTTAATATCTTCAGATTTTATTTTCAATATTTTTGACAAGAACACTGGCTCCAGCTGTTTTTTCTTTTTTTGTTGTCAGTTGCTAGGGATCAACTGAATAAACATGGTTGCTAATTGTCCTTAAAAAATGCTCTTACTGTGACCAAATTGTGCAAACAGACCTGTGCAGTGTTGACATCATATCAGTTGTTTACATTCAAAGTCCAGAATTGGTGTATTTTAATAATAGAGGAAGGGCAATGGCACCATCTAGTGATTTTAAAGAAGGTACTACAGAATTTCCAGAGTGTTTTCACCAAAGCGTTACTAGATGAAAGTGTTTCTTTATCATGGAGAAGTTGTCTTTCGCAACTGTTATCCCTTGATGAGGATCTACATGGTACAACTGTAAAACATTCCCTCTTTTCAACTGCTTTTTGTCATGGATACATACCAATAAAAGGGGTTCACCATGTTTAAAGAAACTCAAATTTTATTGAAAAAAAATATCCACTCTCGACAATCTGTAGACACTGCAATGATTTCAGCCAAGGTTATTGTAGATTTTTTTAAATCTTTCTTTGTTCCTAAGAAACTGATGTTTGCCATAGTACAACGTTTCTCAAACTTACTGTGAAAGGGCAATTGTACCTTTTTGGTTATGAGGTTTTTGGCAAGATTACAGCTGGGCAGGAAAAGTATAAAAAGAATCAAATTTATTTTAGTCATCCCCATCCTTCTCTGTTCTGTATAAATGGCACAGGCAGCGGCACAGCTGTCCAATCGCTTCTACCTTGCTCCCCTGTGTGCACGAGACCAGTGCCGAAGGGTCCAGGGTGGCTGAGTAGAACGGAGAGTGGGATGGAATAGATCAGGAACGTCAGTTCCTGATCTGCTCCTGCTGAGACTGAAGCTGCTCAGCTTTGAGCAGTTCTGGGTCAGAGCTGTCAAATTCCAGCTGGTACTAGCTGGGTATAAAAGAAGACTGGGGTCTGTTTTCCCAATCTACTTGTACTGGCGGCAGGGGAGACATCAGGGGTCTAACAGAGTGAAAATGATTGTGTTGTGCAAAGCGGTAAAAAAGTTATTTTTGAATGACCCTGGGACTTGCAAGTGGTTATAAGTAACACCTACCCCATTGAGTGCACCACAGCGACTCAAATACTTACCTTGCACCTCAATCCAGCAAATTCATTATTCAGCAATGCTTGGTGCCACACAGCCCTTCCATTGTGAAGATGTCCACTTCTTATCATGTGTATCACACATGCACACTAGGAAGGACCCCAGAAAGTAGGATGCACAAATTCAGGGGAGGGTGCAGATTTGAGGAGCACTGTTTCCACATCATGCCTGGCCTGCAGATGCCAATCACAAATCAGTACAAAAATCCTCTGACGATTCCCAGTGTTAGAGGAAACAGAACAGCCCCTATTAGTGAGGACTCTGAAAGCATCTAGCTAGATATGAAATTCCCAATGCAGGGGGTGGCTGACACTTTGCCCCGAGCCCTCTTCAGACCTCTGGTAAAATTAGTGAGCCAATCCACAAATCATATACTTCAGACAATCATTCGCAGACAATCCACAAATCATTATCGTTTTTCTTTAAATACAAACTCTAGCCAAAACTTGTTTTGCTTTTTGATAGCGTGGGTAGGAGTCAGAAATTATGTCAAATTTTTTATTACACCCTCTGGTGGGACTTCCCTCTGTTCCTGTCCTGGTGGCACCAGAACAAGAACTGAGACTGTGTGAGTCAGCACAGAAAGACACAGAGAGCAATGAAGCCGCAATGAATTCCAACCAATGTTTAACCCTGCCCCGCTCTACTAAATAAATTAACTTTTGTAGCTGTCTCTGTCCCCATCAGAGAAATATTACATCACTCCTGCCCTTCCAATACCCTATCACTGGACAGAATGTGAGGGTAAGTTTCCTCAATGAGGACACAGACAGATCTAAATTTGACAGAGGTGCTAACCTTTGCCCTAATTTTTTTACGGCTGAACAACTTTTTGGCCTGCTCCTTATAAGAGAGATTTGTGTTGCATTCAACGTATTTTTTGAAGATTTTACCAAAATGTTATTTCTATTTTACGTAGATGCCAGTCTCTGTATCCTCATTGGGGAAATTTCCTTCCTCATCGCGTGGTATAACAGAGATAGGAAGTGTGGGAAATGTCTCCAGTGGGGACAGAGCAATAGAAACCAAAGAGAGAGTTTAACTCTTCTCTGAATCCAGATCTAAAGAAAATGACCAGCCTAGATTTTTACTTTACATGATTTCACTTTTTGTAGTATCATTGTGGGGGAAGGGGGACACAGTATGTCTAAATGTTACAGAAGAGTGGAATGTCGATGATTAAATTCACTTAAGTTTTCATGTTCCTCAATGAACTGTTTAAACATTAACCAAAAAGAAATAAGATCAACTGCAAAACTGTATTTTGTACACATGGTGGCGCTATTCACTACACAATTTTACAGTTTGCATTAACCAAAAATAGTGATCGCAACAAATATTTCACACACTTCAATATGTAAAGAGATACCAAATATATGTTACACAAATGTGGTTTACATACATTGCATTGGTTGTGAGTGTGTGTATTTTTACACACACTCACAACCAATGAAAGCAGGTGCTTTCATTTTTTTGTATTGATTTTATTCAATTTTTACGCTCACTTTTTTTACATTTTACTTTATCACTATCGAAGGTGTCTAATAGCCCCCACTACATGATAGTATTGTGCAGTGACAGATATTCTTTTTGGAGAAGTCAGGGGTTTATTAGACCCCAAATAACTCCTCTGCACTGTCCCAGAGCTGATTTGAAGGCAGTAAGACCCCGGAAGCATCTATTACAGCAGCAGCTGGCTGCAATCATACAGCTGTGAACCTAGAAGCAGAGTAGAGCACTTCTAGGTTCACTACATTTTGTGGTCCTGGGCTCCCAGGAGGAATGTGAGAGTCCAGGAACCATGGAGGGGGGGGGAGGGGGACACCCGCATGTAAAGATGATCACTTCTACATTAAGGGCAGGAGCTTGCTTATGAAGTTTAAACAAGCTTATGGCCGTGAGCTTGTCTTAACCCTTTCAATGCCATGTAATTGACAGCAAAATACTTAAAGGAGATACAGTAAAGTTGGAAATGTTCGAAACGTCAAATCCATGCCAGGTAAATTTTTGCTGTCTGGGTACTGTTGGCATGTCTCTTTACTTCCTGTCTGGGAGACACAACAGGAAGTTAGATGAAGTCTCCCAATGTGAGGGGAATTTCCCTTAGTTATCTATAATTGTCCCTGGCACATGTGTTTACATTGGAAGACTTTTCCTCACCACTTGCACTGGTGACAACTCTAAAATTATGGATTACCTCTCACTGTCTATCTCAATGACAATGGTCACCAGTATAAATAGAAGGATGAATCTCCTCAACAGTAACACAGAGAGAAAAAAAAAACAACTTAACAGGGGGTTCCAGAACACTCGCACTGCACCCAAAACATTGTTTTTAGAAATACTTCAATGGCAGAAGACAAGGATTTATTACAGCAAACACTTCACCCGTAAATATTAAAAGAATCTCTTTAAAGCCAAACTCTGGAAAAAATAACTTACACTCCACACTGGGTGTGTAAATTATCATAAAAAAGCTGGTTGTTATGTACGGAGGGCCACAGCAAAGTATAACAAACTTACCTTGCAGCATGCCAGCTACTACACATAACTCACGTATTCCAGGCACTGCGGGGAGTGAGAGATGCGACTTGAGCAGTGAAGTGCTCCAGTCACATCCCAGCCCCTCCCCAAGACTTACCCATCCACAAAAGCCTTGTAATTTTCTTAACAAATACAAGGAGTTCTGTGATTGGAAGAACATGTCACATCCCCATCCCTTCCTCTAATCACAGAACGCCTGGTATTCGTTCAAAAAAAACAAAGTATTTTGTGAATGGTCAAGTAGTGAGGAGGGGCAGGGATGTGACTGGGGCACTGCCTAAGCCGCATCACTCACTCCCTTAAGTGCCCAGAAGCTGAGTGTTATGTGTAGGAGTCAATATGCTGCAAGGTAAGATTTTTATACTTTTTTTTGGCCCTCTAGACATAACATGTAGCTTTTTAATGACAATTTACACACCGTGAGATGTGTAAATTATGTTTTCCCTAAGTTTGGCTTTAAATACTATTAGTGTCATAAAATAGTGATCAGAAAAGGATAAGATCTTTTCAAGCAGGAGAAAAAAATAAGAGCTTGTACTGAATTAAATCTTTTGGTTCAATTACAGGTAACGTGGCCTGGATGCATGTACTCGCTGCTCGTCAGATGCAGATGAACCCGCATGTCCTTGGTGGACAGGCCTACTATGCATATGATGACACCCCGGTGAAGCACATAAAGGACTTGCATCAGGAATTGTTCACTGAATTTGACCCTGATATACAAATTGGGTCCCACATTCCTTACTGGAAGATATGGTTGCTTATATCAATTCACAGCTTGATAAGATTTGTTTTGAAGCCTTTTTGGAAACTGAAGCCCTTCTTGACTTTACCAATCCTGAAGTTAGTGAGTGTTACATTCTACTATGACACCGACAAGGCATTCAGACACTTTGGCTACAAGCCCTTTTACAGCTGGGTGGAAAGTAAGCAGAAGATCAGCCAATGGCTGAAACTGGAAACTGAAGATCTGAGAAAGACTAAAAAGAATAACTGAAAGCTAATTCCTTTATGATTATTTTCCCCAAAAAATTAAAGTGCCACAGCTTAAAATATTACGCCATGCAGTATATCTTTTTATTTACAATGAAGCAGTCGTTTCTGATTCCCTGTTTGCCTTTTGTTATTTCTTGAAAAACCTTAATAAACTGTTTGTGAAAGAAAATGAAGCAGTTGTGACACATAACTCTAGTTACACACGTTCCTCCGAAACAGGAATGAACTCAGGTTCGGATTAAACCCAGTCTGAACCTGAGCTCCTTCGAACCTGAAGCTACAAGGGGCCACCCACCAAATCAGCGTTGGATTGCGTCATTTGCCGCCCCGTAGCTGCATGTAAAGAAAGTGGCGGGATGCTTGTGCTGACATCATTGATCTTATATCGCCACATGGCCATATTTGGTCCATGTTGTGGACCAAATATAGCCATGTGGTCATATATGGTCAATGACTACACTGCATCCCGCCCCTTTGCTTACATGCAGCTGCAGCCGGGGAATAGACCCCTAATGTCTCCATAAAGAGGACCTGCCATTCTCTTTGCTATCACATTGGGGACTTATTGGCCCCCTATATAATAGCAATAAAGTTAAGTGTTAAAAAAAGATTAAGAAAGAAACATTTTTTTGTGTCCCCTGCCCCCACATACACGCACTAACAAATGCAAACATGTGTCAGGTGTGCCTACATGCAAAAACAAGGATTGCACCACACGTTACATATCACCGTGAATGTCGGAGTGAAAGCAATATAATTGTTTGGGGTTTTAGGCTTTTTTTCTAGCCAAAAATTCTGATTTTATCATGGTGTTTTGTTTTGGATGAAGACACAGACTGTTTGAAGATTATATCATATGGGATTGAAATGGATTTATAATATGTTATTTGATGTGACATATTGTGGAAGTCAGTGCATATCCACACACTTGTGTGATATAGACTGTTTGGTGATTTCATTGTACACTTCCTCACAATGAGGTTGATTTACACAAAATGTATTTGATGCGATTGTTCATTTGTTATTCTATAGAAGTCATCATATATTTATATTTATAATACTGTGATATTTGGAGCACACTCGAGGGTGCACTTTTCTATTTTTTGATTAAGTTGATTTAAGTAGCAAGTAGTGAAGCGTGACACTCATTACTTTTAGATCTATTGGGAATATGACAATGAAACAGTTGATTTTATAACATTTAAAAACTAAAATCTGTATGACCCCCCTGTCCACAGCTGCATTAACAATAAGAGAAAAAAGGGTGCTGTCCCAGGCCAATCAGTCCACAGAACCCATCAGAAGATGGGGGCACTGCAGTATGGGGTCTGACGCCACTGAAAGCTGAAGGTGAACATATTAGTAAATAGTAAGGCAGACCACTTTATACAATGGCTGTCCATGCAGCAAAATCCTGCCTTCCAGTGATACCCAATTGATAGAGGATGATGATCTGATAACCCAATAAAACAACACATGCAACAACGGAAAGCAGGGCCATCCACTTCATAGTTTTTGAACTAAGCTTTATATAACATTTGAAAACAAGTACATGCCATTGAACACAAGCTTTAAGAAACAAGCAAACATATTACAGAGTCACCATTGCAGTTAAAAAATACAAGTTGTGCAAATTTACAAATATAACATTAAAAAGTAACATATTTAAAATGTAGTGAGACTGCGAACGGGAATGGACAGTACCGAGTACACATTTGGTCACAGCAGTAAAATATGGAAATAAAAAAATAAAGCAATAATCCATTCAATAAATCTACATTTTGGTAGCAACTGTTCAATATAAAACATCTGAAAAGTAAAAATAATCTGTACAAGCATACAACCAGTTTTCATTTTTGCCTCACGGGTAATAGTCTGTGTGTCTCATGTAAGAGCAAGAAAGCATGTCAGGTTTTACATTTTACTGCTCTGTCATGCATTCCTCTTCCCTTGCCCCAAATGACCACGTTAAAGTGTATGTATAGCAAAAAAAAAAAACTTTTCTAGTTTTGGATAGAGTAGGTGAGGGAAAAAGCCCCTACCGGGTTTTTTTTTGCTGACTTTGTACCATAGGTAAAATTTTACTTGCACTTCCTGTCCCAGAGACACAACAGAAAGCTAGTGGAAATCTCCCAAAGTGAGGGGAATTCCTTTCTTTGATAGTTGTTCCAAAATAGGTTTCCCCATTGGAAGATGTTCCATTACCTCTTGGACAAATCTAACATTTTTGATTTCCCCTCACTTTTCTATCTTGGGAAAAACGGTCACTAGTACAAATGGAGTGGTGAATCTCCCCAATGGGGATAAGACAGCAATGAAAATTTGACACAAGGCCCAATCCTTCTCCACTCTTTCCAAAACAAAATAAAACATAGGCTTGCCTAAAATAGCATTACTCAGTCACACCACCTTTTGAAAGTATGAAATATTTCGAGGCACCCCAGCCCTAAATGTAAACGACATGTGGCCCCTCTAAAATCCATACAAGAACCTTTTTCCAGATAGCCCAAAAAATGGGCTTCCCTCTTCACATCAGAAGCCCTCCTTCCCATTAGAGCTCCCCTCTTTTACATCATAGTCCCCCCTTCACATCAGAAGATTGCCTGCACAATGGAAAGGCATCATGCTGCAGAAAAATTGAAGGCAACCCTGAGGAAGTCAGAAGGCACCCTGGTTGAGAAAGGCTGGTCTAGACATACACTTTAATGCTCCTTTTACCTCCCACAGAATATTACATGCCCCACATTTAAAAGAGTGCTTTAGATAAAGTAAAAAAAAAATCTGTATACCAATGCCCTTTAAAGCCTTTACCTGCGCATACGTTTTGTTTTTATGAGTTTAATTTGGCAGGAAATGTCCATTTCAATAAAAGTTTTGGACTTGCAACTACAAGACACTTCTCTGCAACACCAACCTATCATATCATTGTACGTGTATGTGACTAGATCCAGCAACTATTTTTATATTGTTTACATACATCAGATATCTGCAACTCCAAAAAGATGTAAAAAAAATAACATATGCTGCATGTGAGGATACATTAATGAATATAAGCACTGAGCATAAATTCAGTAATAGGGATCGTGTATTTGCTGTATAAATATCTGTATCCAATGCAAAAACAAGGTAAATAGCCTTATCTACTACAGTTTCAGTTCACCCCAATGCGCTGCGATGGTGTGCCCTGTAAAAAAATAGGACATGTTGCATTTTTGTGCAATGCGTTTTGACCCATCACACATGCGTGTTGATTGATATGTTGACCTGTGTTGTGATACCTGTGCCCACTCATTTCCCAAAATCACACCTGACATTTTTTTCTCCAATGCACCACAACACAGTGTTTATTTTTTCATGTATGCATTGTGGAAGGCATGTGAAGGGTCGGGCATGTTTACTGAATGGGTGTGTGTCATAGGCTCAATGAAAACAAATGGGACCCACACCAAAACACATGCACAAAATGTCAATTCACATTACAACGCTTGCATTGGTGTGAACCGGCCTTAACATGTAAACCCTAATCTAAACCCAAGAACAAAAATGATATAAACAGTATATTGCAGCGTACCAGTCCTTAGATGTGGCATCTGCGTTAGTTTCCTTTTTTTCTGGATTTTTTTCACTTAGCAATCCTGACAGTAACACATTTCCTGTGCTAGACTGACAACACTTACTCTACTCTTATGCTGTACTCTATCTATGGAGCATTGTCACCCTAGGCTTCTCTCTTGATTGGGACTATAGAACACTTCTGCCACTTACTATCTCAATAGCATTAGGTGGGGTAATCTGTAGCCTATAGAGGTGCCAATAACACTGCTTAGGGGTTCAATGAAGCACAGGAAGTTATGAGCTCACTAGCTTTTTGGCAAGATTATATTTGTTTTGCATGCATTGATCAGATATACAGTAACAAAAACTTTCAACTGTATGAAAGAACAAAAAAGGAGCAAACAAGAGACGTTAATTGTAAAGATTTACATACACTTTCAGCTGGTCCACTAACCTTGATGAATTAATACATATCCACTAATATACTTTATGTTACTTCTCCATGATTTAGGCAGTGTATGGAGTAGTCAGGTAACAGTAATGTAATCAAATAAGCAGGTTTGTGGAGCAGCAGCATTGTTCTGCTTTAAAACAGAAGAGCAATACCAATGTCTGCAATACAGCAGTGTTGCCCAGTCTTTGGTTGATTGTGTGCCACCATCATGACCTGTGCAGTATAAGTGAAACACCTATTTCCCAAGATCCCCTTTTCCAGTTGTAACCCATACAGGCTGAGATTGCCACACAACGGTCCCTAAGAAATGAGATAATGGTAAAATAACTAAGGCCAGTAATTGATCCAAAATGAACTGGAAGGCTACATTTGGTCATGATTTTTTGTTTAATATATATATAGCTAGGAGGTATCAGTCCTAAGTCATAAGTACCGTGCTAATAAACCATTGTGAGCACTACAAATATGCTAAATTCAATTGATAAAGTGCAGCTGTGTACCGTGGCAGCAATGTGGTTGCTTTGGCTCATCAGGAAGCGGTTGCACCTCATTACCTTTGCCATCTGCCTACTCCCAAGATGTACTCACCTAAGAAATACAACCTGCTTTTAAATAAAGACATTAATGGACATTGTAAATTGAAATGTATCAACCTTGAACTGCACATCATTTTTAGAAGGATTTTTTGAGGGACAAATATCTCAAACTACTCATAACCAATCAAGTTGCATCCATACCGATACAGTAACTTCTTTGAAGACCTTTGCCTAATACAGTTAATGTTAAAAATGCATAAGCAAGTCCACTAAGGAGATTACAAGGTAGTATAAAATCTTACAAAATAAATATATATGATGCTGTGCATATGAATTATATTTAATTGTTATTCCCTAGTCTATAAAAAGCAAATCAATCCATCCTAACAGCAATAGAACAAAGCAAACTTGCAGACAATGTATGGTCGATATAGTTGATATGTGTTTTTGTACTGCCACATGCCAAACATA